AGCAGCAGCACATTCTCTTTGTTTGGTTTCTGCTTTGTTTTCACTTTACAACATTTACACTTCATATTGCTCACACATCCACATTTACATTACTGATGTTACTGACTTGCATACTTCACATTTGTATTTATAACCTCAGTTGTTTAAGTTAATATAATAAATTCACTCATTCCTAGACATCTATTGTGTCCTATGCCGTATTTGTCGCCTAGGAGCCGGGTTATGACACAAGTTTGTTTAAAGTCTAGGTGAGATCAGAGAGCTATTTGATGCTGCGCATTTACATATTTTCTGTAAAAACAGGCAGCTACGGAGAGCCTTGTCATGGTAGCCAAAAGCACTGTGTGTTATGTCCCCCAGTTTGTAGCAAACCTATTAGATGACTGCCAGACTGGTGACCCAGTGAACAGCATGGCTAGACTGGGACTGAATGCAGTATCTGACAACAGGGAATAAAGTGCCAAAGTGTCAAAGTGTTTTTATAATGATCTATTATATTATTTTTGCTCTGTATTGCTAAAAGTTAAAGATTGATTGATGGGTGAATGGCATGATATAATTGGTTGAAATTGGTTAGTTCATGAAAATACAATTTCTGGCATACATTGTTAAATAGGGGTACAACAATAATATGGATGCAATCTTAAAGTTCTGGGAGAATAAGGCCTTCAGTACCTCACAGTATCATTACATAAACTATGTTAATGCAGCCAGAGCACTGAGGGATTAGAAAAAAGCTACCACCCTGACAGATTACTGTCCTAACTCTGAGTCTCACATATAACAAAGCAAGCAGCATTTACTGTGTATTTAAGTTTATGCATGACTATTTATATATGTGAGTTGTATGATTTCTTCTCATTTTATTAGACAGTATAGTACAGTCTAATCATAGTCGCTATTGGCTCGGTGGAATACACTGCAGCAGTAACAATCAAAACCTAAACCTGTTTCTCTTATTTCTTTAGGTAAAATGTGGTCTTAGGGTGTTTGTTGTCTTTTTGTTTTGGTAGAATTTGTTTACTTTAAAAGGTGGAATTAAAAAGTTGACTTCAGTGATTGCTGTTTATTAAACCGTGTACTTCTTTAACTTCATAGTGTTTCATAAATGTTTAAATAATGGCAAGGATTAATGTGATGGACACATAATGTGGACTTTTACTATGTAAACATGCATCTTATGACAAGCTGACAAGCAGCTGTGCAGTCTGACGTATTGTGGTCTGTCAGTGAGGTAGTCAGTGATCCAGGCCACGAGGTCCTGATTGGTTTTCTGCCAGCCGGAGAGGTTTG